TGCTCAGCTTCATTCTCGCGCACCCTATCAGCAACTGTCACGAATGGCCCGAGATCGCTCCTGCCACAAATGTCGGGTTCGATAGATTGCACAATCGCGTCCTTCCAATACCTCAAGAACGCCGTTGACCATTCTATAATGCGGGCTTTTACCAAGCCACCTGGGCTTGCCTTACAACCATCTGCTAAAAATAGAGCCTATTTATCACTAAGCATGCCTCATTCGGAGGGTGGAGCCTTTACCTCACCCCGCTTGCCTCATTCAATAGACACTGATCGTAACGTGATGACCAAGCCACTGCCTTCTATAGTTTTACTCCACAGGAAAACCAATCAATTGGTTGGCACATGCCACCATTTGCTCGAGTTTGTGAACATGCGCTACATTCATGTTGTGGATGGGCTACCCTACTACTCAAGGCGGGCAAGGCGATTTTGTCCAGAGACTTAATTGCAACTCATAAGGTGGCTCAATAGCCTTAATACCTCTGATCCATGAGAAAACCAGAACTCCACTTTTATGAGCACTCTTGACAGGTCACAAAAAAGTGACCCATATATGGCCGAAAACAATTGAAAATTGTATTCTAAAGCAAATTTGACTTGGTTATAAGGCGTATAAAATATTCTTAAGCCACTGTGTTTCAAAGATTAAAGTGGCCCATCCGTGCGCCACCCAGATAAGTGATTTTGTTGCAGGAAAGCGGTGGAGAGAGCAAATTGATTAACTACGTTTTCCGGTAGACGCATAATAATCCGTTTCAACCATCCAAAACCAGGCTAGTGTCCAGTGGGTTTCAAGCTTCCGAGGCTCTACCCGTTCAAGCCGTCCTGACAGAACGGCCAATCGTTCCACAAAACCAGTATAGACACTAGGTCGTCGTTTGAGGCCTAGGGGGAACCAATCACAACTCTGAAACGTATAAACAACAGTATTTCAAATATGATGGTGCGGGTGTGTCCATCGTGCACAATTGGAGTAACTGCTCCCACACCACTTGTGTGATGTCCGGATTTCAATTCCATACACGTTTACGTATGCGCACTAATGATGAGCTCTAATGAATTAAAGGTTCTCTTATCTTAACCTTTGAAGTGGTACCATCAGAAATATTACTACAAATCGGGAAAAGGTCAAACCAATCGAGTCGAGTGAACGGCTGATCATCAGAAGCTAACGGGGGTTGATTTCGCTGAAACCATAGATTTTTCCAAGTTCACACTTTTCGAGGGGTTTTTACTTGCCTGACCGCAGGTTTTAGTGATATGGTGTTTACAGCAGTTTGTTTAGCTGAGCAAACTTTCAAGGTCAACCGACTTTCGATTCGCTTAGGCAACAGAAAATACCTGCATTGCTTGATTTTTCAATATTCGTGTTGGCCAACCAGGCTCTTCATATGTTTGAACGAACACGCCGGTGCCCAAAATTAATAAAACTATCGTTTACTTGTTTATCCATTAATTTATTCCACGCACCAGTACAAACGTAGGGGATGGTCACTCCGGTTCTCGTTTTCCGTAAGCCCCTTTGACTCAACGATGAATCCAAAGTCTAAAATATATGATGGATTAAATTCCCTTAGTACCTCATGTAAAAGAGTTGAAGGCCAGATTTTTTAGGGCTAACGCACCAAAATAATAGGTGGCATGAGTTGCACCAATATGTCCCACGACTTGAAGACGTATATAAAACATCTGTTGCGTGCGCAAGACATACGTGAGCAAAGCAAAATGTCAAGTTTCACCACCAGTACACGGTCACATTGGCAGAATCTCACATGGGAAAACATGAAAACCACCTTTGAAAGGAAAACGAAGCGTAGACCCACTATACAGTGCAGATGGTTATTTAAAGCGGTAGTTGTAGACGAAGTGGGTGGCCAGTACCTTCGCAAATTCATCTAGAAATTGCTATCACATTTGACTCCTGGGTTCCGTACTTCGATAGAGTACCGCACTCGTTCATTCGCTACGCTTCAGACATGTTGACGGGAAGACTGCCAATATTTTGTATACAAGGTGGCAGTGATTGGGCAGTGAAAATTGGCCACCTGAAGATAGTTCTAGGAACGAAATCGAAACTTTCTGGGTACACGGTACAGTGTGTTCCATCTATCATAATTAATTCACCAAAATCAGCTCGGCTGGTCCAAAATCATTTTCCGCACGCTTGCCAATTTAACACCTATTCTTTAAGCGCTAGGACGCTCGGCAATTTCTACCGACATAGCAATCAATCTTTATAACGTGGACTGTGATCTTCGCCTCATAACATCATGATCTGCCAAATCTATTTGGTGTCCCGAGTACAGTGAATGTTCCGCCATTGCCGAGTCTTTAAGCAATGCTCGATATTCTTCTGTCTGTTTGTCTCCCTACTTTGCGCCCCGATCCTAGTGTGAAGTTCTGTCCTATAAGGGCCTTAGTGCGGTCGTTACACTCGATTCTGTAGACACAGTCGCTGGTCCTGTACGCCGAGGTCATTCTTCACCAGTATTAGTGCAGAGCGTGGTGTTTCTCTTCTAGGCAGCTGCATTATGTCAGCCGTCCTTAGAAGTCTTTGAATGACCTCCCATTTATCCGATGTGTATGAAATATCAGCGGTCCAAATATGTTCACTGTTTCGTTTCACTACTCGTAACAAGGCCCTTTACAAATGGCACCTAATCAGGCTAGCTGGGCATCCACTACGCCAAAGTTTGACCTTTACATTGTCTGGCTACCCAATAAGTTTACCAGGAGTGTGTGGCAAAGAAATAAAAATAATAACGCTAGGTTGGCTATACAACAATAAAGAGGTCAGATAGAACACTCACTAAGAATTGTTTTCTTTAAAATAGGTCGCCGTTGGCCCAGTTCAGCGAATGAACCATAATCCAATTATGGTGGTCCATGGGTCTTCTCCTGAGCCGTTCCCACATATAATAGGTTCCGAAGGTGGTCTGAAATGTTTTAACATCAGAGTTAGTACATGAGGCTCGCGAATGGCCTCTGCAAGCTCGAGCGAAATCAGAAGAGAGAGTCGAAGCACGTGACCACGCTTGTATTATGTGAAGTTGTACAAGTCCGCGTTTGTAGTTTTTCGTGCTCACACAAAACGATTGCGCAACTGATGCTATATGTAGTGTTATAATGGAAGTAAAATAAAGGTATAAAACGCCACACTACTCCCCCACTAGAGCGTTGACCGTGAAAGGGGAAAACGCTCGAATTATTAAAGTAACGAATCAAAAAGTTTCTCACTTCAAGTTTCATAATCAGCTAAGTGCTGAGGGAAACGAACGCGTCGTCCGGAACGACCAGTAGAAGGAGTGCGGTTGGCGGCAGGGATATCCTGGGTAGGTGCGGGTGTTGTTGGATAGCAGGATTGCTGAACGTGGTCGTGGGTACATTGATGTAGGCAGGTGCAAGCGAAATCGGAAGAAAGAGTCGAAGCACGTGACCACGCTTGTATTATGTAAAATTGTATAAGTGCGTGTTCTTGTAGTTTTTCGAATCCAAACAAAAAACGATTATGCAGTTGATGAAATACGTAGTGTTATAATGGAAGTAAAATAAAGGTACAAATCGTCAACTTGGACCGCTGTCTGATCTGCTTCTTCTGGGCCCAGGGTCTTGACACTATAATACACTGATGTGATTGTGTGTGTGACTGTTTGAATGTTTTCTTTTTTAAGCCATGGTCTCAGAGAAACTTGGGCTGTGCATCAAAGATAGGCACGCGAATGCCTCACCAATCCAGCTCGAGGACCGCTCTGATTGGTCGAAAATTTGAGCGCTGAGGCCAATGGTGCTTCAGTTCCCGCTGCTGCTTCCAGGTCCCTTTGCTTTCCGGTTGCTGTTGATCTCGACAAGATACCTTTAAATATTTCTTTTTTGGGCGCTGATACACATGTACCATTGACGGCTCTGCTAAGGGTGCTGGCTTTGGAGCACCGGACTGACTGGTGGGCTGAAAAGTATCCATTATTTCACCCTCTCGTTAAATGGAAGTTCACCGTTGTTAAACCACTGTTAGAGGGAGGGGATAGGCAAAACATGGATAAGTATAGACAAATCTCCCTGACTTCTGCGATCGGGAGAGCCATGCGGCATGTGAAAAAATCACTGACCTATAGGAATGTAGCTACATTCCTGACATTGTAGACTTTATGTGTATGATGCTCAGTGGGGTAAACCGTGCGCGGCCTACCTGTGAACGTGAAAACCCACCCCATCCTCAATTTTTCGGGTGCATATCTCTATTTAAGCGTCATCGTTCTCCTGGTCCCCAAGACTTCCCACTTGCTCTTTTCAAGGATGGCTGTGCCCACCTGGTTTAGTTGCGTCCCTTTGGGATGAAGGCACCCTTCCAGACAACTGGAATAAGTCGATAATAGTATCCATGTTCAGAATGGGTACTTGTGGTCGGTGTGTCAACCACGGATGTCAGTTTGATTCCCGTGACAGGGCTTCTGGCGTCATTGATCCTCCGGCTTCTTACGACGGCAAGCGACCCATGTAGAGATGACCCACAGTCTTGGTGTTCCTTGACTTCGAATTTGCGTCCGATTCTGTCAGTCAGTCAGCACTGTAAACGATACTTGCCCAACAGAAAATGTTTCAAGCTTTTAACGCAGTCTGGTCCCTACATTCGCATACTTGGCGTGTGAGATTGTGCGGAGAGCTGTAAAAGCTTCCCTGCGAAAAGTAGTCTCCGACCAGTATGTTGGCTCCCTCCGTTCTTGTTCAACTTCGTCGCTGAAATATTAAGGTGAACCATAGAAGGTCTTCAAAACTCGGTGTTCAACTTGTTGCTGGTGAGCACCTTGTCCATCTGAAGTGCGCAGGTGACATTGTCTTGATCTTCAAAGGCGAAGGTGAGAGTCAAGTATAAGCCCTTTTGAATGCAGTGTGAAAAATCCCCCAGGAAGAGCACGCAAAGTAGCGGAGCAAACGACACTCCATAAGGTGCGCAAACACATTGTTGTCATCATCGCCATCCTCAGTTTCAGCGCCATATGGCTGAGTAACTCCCTTTTAATAGAAGGAAAATTGCCAGGACGGGGTTCAGTCAGAACTGTTGTTTGCCATCCTCTTAGGGGCTTTTCAGATTGCTTCCATATATATGAATATATCTCTCTTCAGCGGGCCTCACATTCCCTACCTATCTTGGGACGATCTCTCAATCACCAGTCTGTTATTCTCTAACAACATTCATACCACTGGCTACCTGAAGGGCGTCGATTTACGTGGCCCCATCATGAGCACCTGGAGAGGTATGTTAAGTTGATTCCCAGCGTTTTACAGGTGTTGTATGAAAGTAATTTTGGCTCGTAACTTTTGCTCACTGTTTTCCATCCACAGTCGCTCGGCGAGATGAGAACCAGGAGACTGACTATGGTTCGATGCACTTGAACGAAACACCCTCTCTTTATGTACGTTCTGCATAGCTACCTTTGGTGATATGGCTATTTTTATGTGTTCAGCTTTTGTGCGTCAACTACCTAGGGATGTGTTGCGAGAGTCGAGTAGTTCCAGGACGGGATTAGAAAGGAGACAGAATAGGAAGACGTAATGTACGCTTTAATCGTCTAATAACTGTAGTGCATGAGCTGAAAATGGAGTGAGAATCACGAGTTAATGGGTTATGCAAATGTATGAGTTATATAGTCATGACAGGATGACTCGCCGGTTAAGGCACAAAATTACTCAATGGAAGGCCTGAGGTACAAGACAACACGTACTTCGACTGCTGCTGCCTAGGCATGGGCAACCTGGCCTGGTCTTGTTTCCTTCTGGAAGCATGGCAGCTATGGGCTAAGAAAGTGTCACAGTTGGACGTTTTTTATTTCGTAGACCATTTTTAGTTCACAAAGTGAACAAGACTGCAGTTATCATCATCATCGACAGCATAACGTCAGTGCCTACCACTGATGCTTTGCTACCGTGTAACCTGAAAGCCTCATTGTGGAGAAAATAGTGAACGGGAAAAAGACATAGTGTTAGTCTACTCAATCACATCGAGGCGTCTACACCTTAAGACACTCATTCAGGCAGTCGGATAGAAACTGACAACAAAAATGCCATTGGCATAGATTAACAGCCAAATTTTGAAGTTTCTCCATCCGGTTTCGATGGAGATCTCGCCTTCCCTATTCTGGAAGGCAAGTAGCACGGACAGCACCCAGACGTTTCGTTCTCTTTCATACCTCTCTGCCAGGTTAAGTGTTGGCCACCTTTCTGCTTCCGCGACTCTGAATTGGGAACGGACAACAACATGCTTTTCGGAAAGCAATTTTTCGGCATGAACAATACATGGCCTAACCAATGGAGCTTCTGGCGCTGAACACATTCTTCTATGGACGTCCCCGTTGTTAAACTGGTCGCTCGCTTCTTAACTGCTTCGTCGGGGATTCACCGACACCAACCAACGCGAGTTATGATGTTGCTCGCCATCATTTTAGATGCGGTGGCCACTACACATTGTATTCGGTGGTTGTTTGTCGTGTATCTTATCCAAGTTTTGAATAAGCGATATCTCGCACTGTACCGCATTACAACGCCGCCATAACAATCTCTTTGGCACTGGAGGCAATTTTTGTGTGTGAAAAACTGCTTTGTGATGGGAATGTGGTTGAAACATACCCCTCCTTACCAGGCAATAAAAGACGAATGAACGGCAGCAACTTTTTAACACTCTTAACAGGAAGCTGTTACGCTTTCTGCTGAGTAATGTGGCTTTCCGTTGTCACATTTCGTTTATACTATACGGGCACAAAATTTGTTGAGTAATTAAACTTCTGCTTGTCTTTATTTGGTACCTAAAAGTAAAAATTCATGTACTCATCATATGAATCGAATGCAATCTTGAGGCTAATTTTCTTTCCGGAATGCAGGGTCCGTCTTCAGCGTCATGAACAGCCATGTACCGAGAGATTTTTCCGGATTTTTCAAACGGAACTAATTGATTCGAACCGACACCGCGCCTAAATTAGTGGTATCTGATACTATCGCAGTGTAGTGAAACTCATCAGTTAGACTCCGGGGAGGGGCTAGTCACGCACCATTTCACACTGTCATGACTATATGAACCATACATTTGCATAACCCATTAACTCGTGATTCTCACTCTATTTTCAGCTCATGTACTACAGTTATTAGACGATTAAAGCGTACATTACGTCTTTCTATTCTGTCTCCTTTCTAATCCCGTCCTGGAACTACTCGACTCTCGCAACACACACCTGCCGCTTTAATCACATATTTCATCCGCTTGGGTTACAGTACAATACTGAAACAAACTTTAGGCGATTATTCAGCTGCCTTGGCTAGGTTGCACCAGCTTTGGTGTACCTCTCAGCTCCCAAACTGATGTTTCTTTGCTTGATTGGATACCTGCAAGCAGTTGTCTCTGACATTCATCTGTTCACATACATAAGGATTCGTACCGGAACTGTGATTCTTTAAAAGACACTATCTAGAAGTAACTGTCCACTTATCCACCACGAAGATGTCATCCTAATCTCAGGAGATTTCACTGCATAAGCAGGGTGCCTCAGTTCACGCAAGGTACTGTTTAGCTTCAGGTCTAGTTTAGACCGTAAGCGTAGTGCTAATGGGAGACGTCTCTTACAACTTTGTACCGACCACAGTTGGCAGCCGTAGTGGGTTTAGGCGCAGTGAACGCCGTTGTGTTACATGATTTTTCTCACTGCTGAGGAACCATGTAACCAAAGTGATTATGAAACTGTTAACTACTTGTGGCGGGCTGCTCATTCCGGAATGAATATGATGCTTTGGATCACGCTCTACTCCGATATCGATTTTCACCGAATCCCTAGGGTACACCTAGGAACCGAACTTCGAAAAGCTTTCTAAGTCACATAGTAAGCAAACATGTCAGAGCTTATCATGTGACATTGCCTCCTCTCCAGAGGACTTTAATCGTAACTGGCAGAAGATAACAACCACCAGGAGTGACGCTGGAAAATTGGCGTGTCTTTTTGAGCATGTACACCAGCAGTACCACTAGTACCAGTAGTTCTCAATGGCTAGTGTCACTTGTATACCTTTGAGGCCACAACATATTTCAGCCAAAAGGAATGTTGCTGTTCAGCTCAAACGAAGTTTATGTGTGGATAGGAATGTGTGGTGGAGGCTAGTGCAGCAGAGAATTCAAGAAAGCTGTCCCAGCTGGTCCTCAAAACAGGACCCAGGAAATCCTCTGTTAATGAACCAATCAAACAATAATGATATAGTCTTGACTGTTTGGTAGGATATTCTCAACAACGGTTCGGTTGGCCTTCGGTTTCATTCCACTCACTCATCTCAAGCCTCCATCTACGAGTTTAGACCCCCTCTCATTTGAAAATAATAGATAATCGTTCAGCTGTAGCACCCTCTCGATGCCGAATTTGGATGCCACATGAACCTGTGATACTGCCAGGTTGCACGAGCATAGACAGGACAAGTCGAGCTGCAGAGGTCGGGTTCGAACCTTCCGGTCAGTAAATTGGCACTTTGAGCTATCTCGCCTCCAAAGAAATACTTGTAAACTCGGACAATGCAGACGACGTTGTCTTATTATTTGATGAGCGTCAGTCCGTACAATCTATTCTATATAGGATTCCGGATGTGATCCCTGGTTTCGGCGTGCCTTCCTCACCTTCAGAATGCAAAGTGTTGCTTCAGTACTTCCAGTTCTCCGCTGTGCCTCAAACTTGAGTGAGAGGAATTTTTGTTTGTTGACCGGTTCATCTATCTGGGCAGCTGCATAAGCATGTATTACCGGGGTGTAACATTTGCGAGCTTGCATTACCTATGGTGTCAGGTACGAATATCACTGAAGCTGGAGGACTTTGTGTACAAGGTGATTGTAGGAACGGTCCTGCTATGTGGTCGTGAAGCTTGGCCCTTCCGATTCGATAACACTTACAGGTTCAAACATTTGATCACCGGTGCCTTCTTAGCATAGCAGGCGTTAACTGGTACAGCATGTTAGCAATGAAGTCATGATGAATCACAATCACTAGATTAGTGAGGAAGACTCATCGGGTTCAGATGGTTGAGGCATGCACTGTGGATGCCCAACTTGCATCTACTAAGCAGAGCAGTCTTAAACTCAGAAATCTTGTTGTTTGAAGATCCATGAGGACAGGCCCTCACTTGGCACTGTGAACTAGAGGAGCTACCGTCAAACTGAGCGCTGTAGGATCTTCCCACCCACCCAGTAGGGTGGCGCATGATTCCCCGCGCGCGTAATTAGAAACTCTACAGGACATGGCACGTGAGTGGTCCCATTGGCGAACTTGTCGTCATTTTCCAATCGGACTGTCTAGTTAATGTTTGCCTGTCTTTGTTCGGTAGACTCACACCGAGCTGGGTTCATAAAGACCTTGGATCAATCGCACTGGTAACGTCGTACTTTGATGTGATGTTCATATGCATTCTTGTTACTACTTCAGCATATAGGCACCTTGTTTTCAAGCGTTTACCATATGGATAGAAGGTTGTTTGTAATAATTCCTTACCCTTTTTGACAAATACACTCATTTGCGTATCAGCTTCGTTTTAACGGGAGACTCAGGTGAATATCTCATTTAGAATATTGTTCAACTGAATGTGCTGCACAAAAGCCGCCTAATATTTCAGATGGTACGATATTCGAGATATCGCGGTATATTTTCACAAAGGAAACTACTCGCAAATTCTTCAGCAACCCACAACCGGTTTTGCTCTTTTCGGGGTCCACCGGGTAGGCGCAGTCTTCAAATTCCATCAACCTTATCTTCTTGAACCCGAATTTGACGGGCGCTCAGCTTTATGTAGAAGCCGATAGACACCTATGAGAACTGGAACCACGTGGTACATCAGGAAAAAAGATATGACTCGCAACCTCCCCCCGTGGTAACCTAACCTACGCAGCTACCTGAGAATCCGAAGAAGGTTTCGAGTAGAGCATACGTCGTACTTTGCAATTCAGTTTGAAAACATAACTATGTTCGCAGATGAGCAGTTCCACGTTGTTGAGAATCACCCAAGTGCGCACTGATGTCTCCTTCTATGGTGACGAAACGTTTGCAAGTCAGTTGCAAACCTCCGCGAACAGATCAGGACCAAAAAACCACCATAATATACTAGTGGATTTAATAGCTAAATTACAAGCGCCCATTGGTCTGTCTGTCCACTTTGGCAACATGTAGTGTAACTGGTCTCAAAAAGGCATTTGTAATTTTTTGCACCAGACATAGCTCGCGCTGATGCCATGATTGAAAGAAAGAATCATAAAAGGCCCTGTCGTACTCTGAGCTCATGTTTCTGAGCTGCTTGGCTTTATTTGGTACATATTAATTTGTTTTCATTGTGCCAGTGATTTTTGTGCTATTTCGCACCGTCATGTTACCCACATGATACACAACAACGACCATCTTCCGGACTTTTCTCATATGTGAACCAGTGTATGATGGGCTATGTGAATTTTTGGTGTACAGTGTAGTTATTTTAATGAATTTTTCAGTGTAGAACCACAATACCTCGTGCAATACCCTAACCCTGATCAAGATGGGTACGACCGAAGTAGCTCAGTTCAATTAGCGACTGTTGAATTTCCGTTGCCTCTATCCGTAATCTAAGTGTCAGGTGTTCATCTCTTCACTGAGCTTGACAATGGTATTGGAGCATCTTACTTGACACACCTTAGATATTATCTCGTTTACTTTGGTTGTGTTTCATTCACTGAAGAATGGAGTTGAACAAATAAGCTCCAAGTGGAAAATTTCGATGCTTTAACTCGAGCGGCATTGTTAAACATGACAAGCCTTCATGGAACACTCTGGTTCGTTCCCACATACAATTTCGAATGTGCACTTCGAATTACTGAGTACTGCTGATCCCATTTATTCCCTATAAATAACGCTGTCATAGACAGCTCCCATCACAATTTGGTCGTCGACTTTGCAGTTCGTTATCCATAATCCTTCCTTCTGGAAGTTTCACTACAACAGGTGTGTCGAACTGGTCACCCGAACAACGTTCTGAATGAAAGCCGGAGTTTCTCCACTGCTCAACAAAGCTCAGTAGCAACTTGGATGAACCTGTGTAGTTATCAATCCAGGATCCGGTCACTACCAGCAAACTAGGATGTATGCTTCCAGCTTTAGGATAACCATCCTCGGTTTCTTAAACGACCGTCGTTTCTTGTTCTCATTAGTGCTGGTAGGTCCAGAGACTACACAGAACGAGGTAAACGATAATTAGCAACTAGCGTGAAGCAGTTATGCCGTTTCCCGGCGATGACAAGTCAGAGCGAGGGGCTCTGGATTCAGGGGTGCAAATGGAATGATTGATATGCCTTTACTAATGTATTAGAAGTCAATGCGAGAAACCACCAGGTCCCTATCTTAAAACTGACTTCTCCTGGTCGTCTCACCTTCAAACGCAGCTATTTGGATGGGCAAAAAGGACCGAGACTTTGAAGCATCGTTTTTCATACCAGTCTGTTGTTGATTTTTCAAGCCAGTTTTTACTCATTTAGCCATGTTCAACTTTCAGTTCGCGTTAGGTCTAACTTTGTTCAACCTGTACATCGGTGGGTGAATTTTTCGTTATCCATTCTCCAGGCTGTAACATCACCCTCTCCGCGGCTATCAGCTCAGGTTTTGGCCACGGAATGGCTGAACAGAAACTTTGAAACTAATCGCATTTCGCTTGTGGAGTATCGAACAAGACTGCAGGAACTACGCCGCGCTGTGCGACTTGGAATCGATTCGGCCTCCACTTGTACAGATGGTATGCGATAGCCTTCATGAGCTTACGTGAGATACGAGTTCCGAGTGTTCTTTGAATGGATTTCGAGAGGTGGCCAGATAAACCTTTTTAGACATGTAGATAAACTTGACCTGATTAGACTTCCGGTAGGTATATACTACTTGTTTCATTTTCTTATTTGCCAAAGTGTTTGCTACCATCCGAATCATTGTATAAAGCCTGGTCATCGTGAGCAGCTGTTAACCGATTCTCATTGTTTACTCACCGCTATTCCTGAAGCATTGCTTGTATCCTACCGGAATACTGAAGTAGTAATGCGGAAATACTCAAGTGGTTATCGGAGGGATAAACTCACATTTAATGGATGAACTGCTAAGACCATCGTTGGTGCAAGCTTCCTTGCGTGGTTTGAATACCAGGGGACTGTCTACCTCTCAGAGGGTAGGTGAGAAAATGTTGTGGCAATGAGGCATGAGAATGTGCCTACGGAGCTCAGTGGCGTCAACATCTGTCACTAAGCTTCACCGAGTGCATTCGTATGCCCTGTCCGAACTCATCATCAAGACAGATAGTCCACACTCTCACGACTAATGTGCGTTATAAAATAACCACCGTCATTACCATCGTGCCAAGTGCCTAGCCTTCCCGGCCAACCCTCACCCATTGGATAAAGTTGGTGTAACTAGAAGTAATATACTGACTGCAAGAGTTGATGGCAACTACAGCCGATGACGGTGGTGAGAAGGGGAATAATGAGGGCGGCCACGAAAAATGAACAAGAAAGTACTGATGAAGATGTGTGTCTGGGGCAGAGCAGAATAGCAGAGTCTCTGACTTGGTTCTTGTATGGCACTTCTACCTCTTGATAGTATCAGAGTTATCTCGCAGGTACACCTTTTACTTGACTTTTTTACGCTACACAAAGTGGCGTTGCTTGACGCGGTGTTCGGGCTTGGGTGCTACAATGATCCCGGAGGCTATACTGACCTGAACTTCGTTCCACAAGGTGTAACCATTCCAGGGAGTTCAAAAAGCGGCGAGCCGGTCTTAGTGTAAACTCGTGCTGTCCGTTGTGACATGTTTCCCGGGTTGACCAGCATGTCCGTGTTTATTGAAGAATCCATGCTGCCTTTCCCCGAAGAAACACAGGTTAGAAGAGGTCGGCTCTAAAAACTATATACTCCAATCGTCCATGACCGACAGTGCACCATCCAATACGGTCGAAATAATTTTGAAACCAAAGAATCTGGTACCGTTCAAAAAGCACCTGTTGTTCCGAGTGAGTAAAACAATAAAGCATCACTCCCTGCGCCCTCAGGTTAGGCTAGCCTCCTGTGGCCGAACAAGTTGGACTATTGAATCGTCAACTTCTGGCCGGGTCCCCAAAGAAAACACTGCTTCCGCCGCTT